CAAAAAAGTGAGTGTCTGTGGGGCTGTATGCTGTGTGCATGTGTGTGTGTGTGCCCAGTGAGTGGGTGTGGTGTGGTGAGTGCGTATTTGTATGTGCTAACCATAATATGCAAGAGATACCTGACGTCCAATGCGCTGCTGCACTCGCCGAGTTATTGCCTCAACTTGGTTAATATAATATGCAACATGCAATACACACTCACTCACTCACACACCAAAGAAAGAAACACACACACACACACACATACGCACTGAGGCTAGGCAAACTTTGCGCATTGTTTTCAGCCTTTTGTTGTGTCGAACAATTAATTGGATCAAGTTATTAGCAGACAAGACTAATGCAACGCAAGTGACGCGCTTTCGCGGTGGGCGTGGCAGCTAAGGCGGCATTGGGGCTGGGCGTTGAGCGGCAACAGCAGCTGCCATTAAGCTTTGCCTGCTTTGCCTGAAGCCTGCGCTTCGAGTCCCGAAAGTCGACTCAAGTCGAGTGAATAGTATGAGTGTGTGTTTGTGTGTGGTATGCTGCAAGTGGCAAGTGGCTAACGGGTTGCATGCAATTGCGTAATGATGCAATGAAATGCCTTTTCTTCATTGCAGCCCTTTACAAATTGCGCAAACTGTTAACGGATGCCCGGGTCACAGTCCGGAGGGAAGGAGGCGACAATAAAGTTTTGCATGTCGGGCCAGAAGGTTGGCGTGGGCGTGCCCGGGTGGGCGGGGCACTTGCAAGCTGTGATTTATGAACTGGCCAAGTTTTGTGTGGTGCGTGTCTGCGCTTCAGCTGGCATTTATTTATGAGTGAGTCGCTCAGCAAATATTTTTCACAAACAAACAACAAACAGCAAACGAAAACAAAAACAAAAAGAAAAGACAGGCTTTGCTTGAAGGATCAATCACAATTCGTTTACTGGTCAAATTGAATGAAACACCGTAAGATTTCACTCGGCATAAAACTCATGAAATTGTAAAAAAATGATATGATTGTAATTGGATATAGACACACATACGGAAACAGAGACAACATGCTGCAAAAGCAGTTAAAAAATGGATATCAAAATGAGCGTAAAACTAATTTCTCGACAGACTCAACAGAACGAAACGAACTCAGGTTTTCTCGAATGTGCACCAGGCAGAACAACTGGCATCGGCCTGGGTTTGAGTTTGCTTATGAAATGCAACCGAAAATCAAATGTTTTTCAAATCTGAATTTGAATTTAAACAATAAATAAATAAATATTCGTGGTAAAAAGTGAGTGTGGGACAAACTAAAAACACATTTGCAGCCCAGTTTGTTTACAATTGCATTCCGGTTAGTTTTGTGGCTGCTGTTGCTTCCTCAAAGTTCACAAAACATGCCTCAGCTCTCATGACAAACAGAAAGTAACGAAACATAAATAAAACAGTGACAGTGGTAATGAGAGAGAGAGAGAGAGAGAGAGAGAGCGAGAGACAGACTATAAACGGGTTGAAGGTTGTTAATCAAATGACAAATGTGTTGCATGTTGCATGTTGCAAGTGGCATGTTGTACAAAATAATAGCTGTTAAGACAGGCAACAAACATTTCGAACTGGAACTGAAACTTGTTCACAATTAGATGTATAGCTAAGATTGTGTGGGTAGGCGTAACGGTAGCCGTGATTGCCATTTGCGATTGGCTTACTAGACATGTTCTTGGTGAGGAGAACGAGGAACAACGAAACACAACGGAAAACACAAAACAAAATAAGAAGAATAAGAATACAAATAGAATTAAACGGAGTTATTAACATACGATTCGAGTTCGAGAAGTTACCAAAGAGAATGCACAAAATGCATGGAGCACATACATTATACAGTTTACGATAGATATTATATAGTAGTATATATATGCAGATATTACTGGTTACTTGCTTTGATTTTGATGTTTTACATATTCTGGTATCTTAAGATTTTTTTTTTGTTTTTTTTATATATATATTATTTGTATTTTTGATGTTGTTGTTTTTGTTTTTTTTTTCGGGGTACACATTCCGTAGCTAGTGAGATTATTACATATGCAAGTGTGAGAGTGTGTGAGTATTGCATGTGTGTGTGTGTGTGAGTGTATTATCACAACCCATTTGTAAATCTCATCGAATATCAAATAATTGTAAGAGGAATGAACTAATTCTCGAAATGAATATAAACTAAACTAAAACATTAGCACATTTCGAAATAATACGAGAGACGAATGCAGCAAGATGTCCTAAGTAAAAATACTAAGTATATCAGATACGATTACTTAATTGTACAGTTATTTAAATATATATGTGTATATATATCTGTATGCATACATAAATGGTAAACGGTGCAGCTAGGGCTGCGTTTTTGGTTGCCTGTTGCTGTTGTTATTATAATTAATATTGTTATATTATTATTATTATTATTGTTGCACGAATACTTAAGACAAACGGTAAACATGGCATAGAAAAGGAATGGGATCAAATGTAAAAATAAATATAAATATACATTCATATATTTATATTTATAGAGAGCTGTGTGGTATACATATGTCTGTGTACGTTTCTCTTTATATAGATCAGTGATCAGTGTCTATCTGTGTGTGTGGATGTGTCTGTCTGTGTCTGTGTGTCTCTGTCAGATATACTTCAGTCCGCTTCGGATCTTTGATCTCTGCCTATTCCCCATTGAAGCTCGATAATTGAATTGAACTAACTGAAATTCCTTTCACATGCAAATAAATGTTGCTGTTGTTGTTGTGGCTGCTGTTTGTGTGTTGTCAACTGATAAGATGTTGCACGACTGATAGCAGCACAGTCGAATTCATTTGAAATTTAAATTTAAATTTAAATTTGATTTTCATTAATTTATTTGCTGTTGGCTCTTGATGTGCGCATCGTAGTTGGAGTTGGGATTGGGATTGGGAGAGGGGTGGTGGTTGGGGTGGCAGCAACTGCCGATAAGTTGATGGTCAGCCATAAAGCATGCCATGAATTATTATTGTTGTTGCTGTGGAAAGGCAAACAGCAATTGAAACGGCCACAGGACCTGGCAGGCAGCAGGCAAGCACCCAGGCAGGATCAACATGGCCCATGCAGTGGGCAGCAACTGGGCATATGCATTATGCAGCAATTGCTGTTGTCAACCGCTGGCCGTGCTGCGGCACAGTGGCATCTTCTTTTGGGTGCCCCAACGCCAAACGAGGCAGCCGGGCCAGCCGAGCCAGCTGCCAGCCAGTAAATTAAGCGGAAAAGTGTGTTGCCTGTTCAACAATAAAGAAGGCAAAGGGAGTCAGAGGGGGAGTGAGAGAGGGAAATGCAATGAATGGGCAGGCGATGCGGCCATCACAGCGTGAGTGAAGAAGAGAGGGAGAGAGGGCGACTCGCCTCGTCTGGCAGTGTTATTTGCTGCAGTTGGAAATAACTCAGCCGCAAATGAGATAAATTGCGCGCACACAGATAATTGCATCGGCTTGAAAAATACGAGCAGATGCCACATATGCAATAATTTTGAATATGTAACTGCGGAAATTCAAAGTAGTTTTCCCTTTTTTTCTTTCTACTTCTGCCTGGCATCATACAAATATTTGTGCAACATTCGGTCTGACGAGCTGCTGATTAAAAATACTCGGAGTCTGACAGAAATGAGAATTCAATGAGTGATTGAGTGCCCGAAATGCTCAACTGAATGAATGGGTGAATAAGTGAATGTCGCTCTTTGCTCTGCAATCATAGTTATAGTTGTAGTTGTATTTACAGTTGTACTTAAAAGTTAAACACCCTATTGATTGAACTGACACACATAGTAGCTAAATGCATTTACATACACACTCATACACACATACGTATACATACATATGGCGTACATGTGAATACAGTAGAGCCATTTACATCCTTTTAGTTAATACGCTTTTGCCGCATAAATAAATAAATTTAAAATGTTCTTTTTTTCAGCGTATTTTTCTTCATTTCTGACTATTTTCATTTTTCATTTTTTCACTTAGTTTTTTAATAGTATTTGCTTTCAGCGTAATTACAGATTTTCATATTTTATGCGCTTTGTCATTACGTCTGCCACTCATTATTATTGTTGTTGTTGTTGTTGACGTTGTTGTAGTTGTTGCCATGAAAATTTAGCTGCTGCCGTTTAATGCAGTACGTGGTTTTAATTTCCTTTATTTCAACGTGGAAGCTCAAATTGTTGTTTTCGCGTTTTTCATTATTATTATTTTTATTATTATTATATATTTATTTACGTGTTTTTCAGTTTGTTTTTATTGTTTTTTTTTTTTTTTTGTAGTTGTTGTTGTTTTTAAGGTTTTCAATTAAACATAATTGCCTTGCATTTGAAAAGTCGTGCCTTTTTTTAATTATTTTTGCGGCAAACTTTGAATATTTTTGCATAGTACTTGGAGTACTTTGCCCTCAGAGATGGGCAATAATTCTGTTCAGGAATCAAATAACATTATTTTGGTCGACGGTAATCTAAGGCTCAACCTTAAACGATTTAACAATCCTTGCATATCTCTGAGTGCAAATGGATATCTTTTAGATTGGGATTACACTTTAGGCTAAACTGAAAAACTTAACAGCGATGTGAACAATCGAAACTCCTATGTAGTCTACGTATATATCAAAAGTTGCAACGATTAACTTGGATCAAGATTCCATATCAGTTAAGGTAGAGTAAATATGATTTATGTATATAGTGGATATAATAGAAGGATTATGCTTAGGTCTTCTCTTTTCTAGATTTCATTCCGATCTCACTTCAATTTCGAGTGCAATTTTCATATGCGCTATTAACTTGGCTAAGAAACTTAATTGAAGTGAATTATTGTCAGTAGTTTACGATAATCTATTCCTAACTCTACGAGCATATATACATAGATGTTATATAATGTACCATTCCAACAACGGGAGATTCTGCTTAGGCATAGCTTACATTTACAGCTGTGGGCTGGATTTTAAGTTTCAGGATTATTTTAGTTCCGATCCGTTTCAGTCTAACGGAGTCTTTTATATGTATATATCGAGTCTGTTGCTGGCGCTGGAGTCTGTGGCCGGGCGACGAAGCTAATCCAATCAGTTGCGTTTACAATTTGTAAGTGTAATTTTGGCCAAAACTCAATCTGGTTAGATAGAGTGAGAGGGCGAGAGAGTGGGGCGGATAGAACGGACTATCGAATAGCTGGTGAAATAATTCGCAATTCGTTGTCGAGTGGTTAAAGCCATCAGCCACCCACAGCGAACAGGCTTTGCACCTGGCCCCAATGGATCAATAGTAATTTAATCGTGCGCTAACACTCATATTCCACTATGAAGCTCTCGGATGCTGCTGCTGCAGCAGCTGCAGGCTTTGCTGCTGCCGCTGCTGCTGCTGCTGCTGTCACTGCTGCCGTTGCTGCTGCGGGTGTCGCGGCATGTTGCTGATGCAGCGCTGTTGATCTGCCCAAATTTACTTGTGACAACATTGCGGTTGCCGATAATTTGCCATTGTATGTGAGGACACTGCCGCTGTCGGACAGGCCATGCCCGTAATAGTTGAGCGCCGAGATTAGCGGTGCCTTGCCCGACCCACTCTGATGCTGACTACGACGCTGCTGTTGTTGCTGGGACCCTTTGGGGGCCATGTAGTCGGCCTGGCGCAGCGCAATGAATGTGTCAAAATTGTCCGCTGTCGAGGAGGCATTCGAGGTGCTCGAGTTGCGACGCAGCTGCTGTTGCTGTTGCTGCTGCTGCTGCTGCTGCTGGTGTTTAGAGATGTGGTTGGGCAGTTGTAGCTTCTGCTGCTGCGACACGGACGAGTTCGAGGATGATGAATTGGATAAAGAGGAGGAGTTGAGCGAGTGTGCGGGCGGATATTGCTGCTGATTTGCGTAGTATTTGCGCAGATTCTCCAACATGTAGCGATTATTTGCACTCGTATTGCTGTTTGCGTTTCCAGCTGATGGGGCAGCCACAGGCGTCGCAGTTGCCTCTGTGGCTGCTGCTCCTGCTGCTGTTGATGTTGTCGCTCCCATGACACTGGCTGCTGGTCGCAGATGCAACTGCTGCTGTTTGCTGCTGGTGGCGTAGAGCGCATCGCTGGTTGGCCTAGCCAAAGCCAGTGCGCCACCGTTAGCTGCCGGCATTGTGGTTGCAGTCGGTGGTGCGTCTCCTGCTGTTGAAGCACCACGCAGTGTACGCTCCACAAACTGACTCGTTGTTGCTGCTCCTGCTGCTGCTGCTGCTGTGGGATAGCCGCGCGAGTAATGCGCTTCCATGAGGTCTGCGCGTCGCTGCTTGGTGGAATGCAGCAGCTCCGGGTCGCCGCCAAAGCTGTAGTACTCGCCGTGCTCATACATACGGTCGATGTCGGCGTTCGGGCGCAGCTGGTTACCTCGATCGATCCGCTCAAAGTCGCTGCGACTGCGCTGGAAGTGCGCCAAGTAGCTCTCGCCGCCTTCCAAGGAGGAAGCCATCGACTCAGCCACCGACCTTGACCCCGACACCGTCTCCTGCTCCGGCTCCGGCTTGAGCCTGTCGTCTTGTCGCTGCAAGTGCTGATTGAGTGACTGATAGAATGTGCTCTCCGCCAAGTTCTCATCATACGATGTCGTCATCAACTGCTGCTGCTGCTGCTGCCGCTCCTGCTGGCGCTGGTACCAATCAGCGTGCTCTTCGCACTCGTTGACGTTGACGCGAATGCGAATGTCGCGCGTCATGTAGTCCGGCTCGACAGCGGGCACTAGATCGTCATTGTCAGCGTCGTCCTCAATGCCTGCGCCTTCATTAACGTCATGCGCCTCGTCCTCGCCGTCGTAGTAGAAGAGCCGCGCTGACTTGGCGCTCTCTGCCAGCAGCAGGTCCTCGCTCTCCTCCAAGGCCAGCGCGTAGCTGTTCAGATTATCGAAGTAGTATTCGCACATTTTATCCGGGTGCTCGTAGCGCAGCTTGAGCGCAGACTCTGTATCCTGCTGCTGCTTCTGCTGCTCCTCTTCGTCCTGCTGCAAAGTCGTCTCGGCCCGTTTGGTCACTGTGGGCCCGCTGAACACGGACGCATAGTCCGAGCTGCTCAACGAGTCCGAGTGGAAGACCTGCTGCGCCTTGCCGCGCCCCGCCCCACGTCCGGATATTGGCAGCGTTCCCAGATTCTCGTAATTAGCCGCCATCTGGCTGTTGGCCTGCGACTGGCTGCGCTTGTGCCGTCGCCGCGGCGTGCCCGCAGCTGCTGGCGGTCTCCCGCCCTCCGTTTCCGTTTCCGTTTCTGTCTCGCGAATGCGCTGCGCGCTAGACAGGGCGCGGCGCTGGGTGCCGCTGATGCGGCCCACGGAGTGCGCCGACTTCCGGCTGCTGCCCAACTGCTGCTCGAAGTTCTGCTCCAGGTAGTGCTCCAGGTAGTGCAAATTCTTGCTCAGGTCGATCTCCGACTTGTAGCTCTTGTAGATCGTCGCCTGCTTTCCGGCGGCGTGGGCCGCGGCGCAGCGGGACTCGTAGCTGGAGATGTGTGCCCGGTCGCTGATGAAGCGGAAGCTCTCGTCCTTGGCCAGCGTGTGGAAGCCGCTGAAGTCGCCGCCGTTGCTGCTGCTCGCATCGCCGCTACTGGCTTTGAAGTTGCGGCACTTGTCCCGTATCTTCTGAATGCCCTGCCTCGTCTTCGCCTGCAGCCGCTCGAAGTAGTTGGACTTGGGCGTGGTGGAGACGTGGAGGCGCGGTCGGTAGGGCGCGTGCTGGATGTCGTAGCCCCCGCTGCCCGCGGCGCGCATGCTCTGGATGCTCTGCGTGCGATTCGGATAGCGGTAGCTGAGCTTCAGCTTGGGCAGCGAGGGCGGCTCTTCCGGCTTGTGCAGGCGGCGCAGCGAGAGCTGCTTGAAGATCGCCTTCGTGCGCTTCGGCTTATGCGCCGCGCCCATCGTCGCCTGATCGAAGTCCTGGCGCTCGAAGCGGCGCACGGGCACGCCGTGCAGGAACTGCTGGTGGTGGGCGGTGGTGGCCGGTACGGCATTTGGCTGCCTATCGAAGAGCCGGCGCAGACCCTTGCCGCTGCGCTGCGGGCGCGCTGCACTGGCGCTGCGCAGGCGCGGATTAACGCCCAGAGTGAGGATCTCGTCGTCGTGAAAGATGGAGAACGGATTCGTGATCACCGTCGAGTTGTCGGGCATAAGGCTGCTTACGGATCTAGTCTTAGTGCTACTCATACCTTGTTTACAGCTACTTAACCCTATGTTCTGCTTACGATCTAATACAACTACAACTTTGGCTTCATTGTGTTGGTGTTGGTGTAGGTGTGGCTGTTGGTGTTGGTGCGCCGAGTGCTGCAGATCCGTCTCGGATCTATGCCGGCGCATCTGGCGATGCAGGCGGCGCAGCTCGCGCAGCGAATTGCTCTGCTTGCGAAAGCGATAGAACGGATTGTTGATGCTCAGCTTCTGCAGCAGGAGCTGCGTCTCCTCGACACTCAGCTGCCCGTCCACTGGCTTATTGTCCTCTGCACTCGAGCTGTGATCAGCTACCTGATTACCCTCTAACTCCCTGCTCCCCGCATTCAAGTCGAGCAGAGTTTTACCCTCAATACCCGGTGGCTTGTTCTCTGACAACTCCTGCTGCTGCTGCTGCTGATTGTTACTGCTCCCTCTGCTGCTGCTATTTCTGCTACTATTCTTGCCACTATTTAGCGTGCTGGCTAGGCTAAGGCTGTGGGAGCTGCTGCTGCTCTTGGCTAACTCTAATGTATTGTTATTATTGCTATTGGTCAGTGTTTCAGTTGCAGTT